AGTTTTGAAACACGCTGCATCCCAGAATACAATTTTGCCATGCCAAAAAAGAGCCTAAGGTCTAGGGTTTATAGGGGTTTACGGCAACGTAGGGTTTAGAGAGGCTTTAGGTTCAGGGTTAAAAGGGTCTCACAAAAGTGGCATTGCGGGGTGAAAAGACCTAACGAAACTATCTATAGTCCCCCCTAAGTAGATAGAATATGGCGTTGGGTTTATTATAATAAGATCCCCATATACCCCGTATTCTATCTACTTAAGGGGGACTATAACTCGTAGGAGATGGCCTGGTAGTGGGCTCAGAGGCCCCCGTCTTGGGGGGTTAGGGATTCACAGCTTTAGGGAAGTCTAGGGTGTAGCCGTAGCATCGAAATATTGTAGTCTTTCCAGGGATTTTCGGCCCAGAGCACACGACTCGTGTTTCCTATCATCCTATATTGAACCACTACTGTGCTCTTCGCTGGCGCGTTCTTTGGAGGTTATTACCGGCTTTCTTAACGGGTGCAAGGTTTTGTCATTTTCCCCTTGGTTTCTGGGTTGCATGGAGTCTCGAGAGCGAAACAAACAACAACACACACGCGCACGCAGAGTCACGCTGCCAAGACACAGGTCCCCACAAGAATCCGCAACTGGCGAAAGAGGGACACCTTGGAGACTGCAGGCCGTGAGCTAAGATCACACCACAGGCCCCTCGACCCAAGTTAGTCAAGGCTTAGGGTTTGAGGCTTAAAGCATCAGGTTCAAGATAGCCCTTAGCAAGCTGCGAAGCACGATGTCAAAACTATGTGTTTCCCTGAAAGCCAGAACGGAAAAAACATGTTTGTGTAGTGATCTCCTAAACTACATGATGATACAAGGAATCCTTCCGCGCAAGGACCTAACATGCTGTGAAGGACAACCTTTATTTTGCCGGAATCGAAACTAACTCCACATGACTACCGCAAGAGGGAAGCAAGTATTGTTCATCACAAGCCTACGTACAGTGATAAGAATAATGCAGGCAGCAGCCGTCAAGTTTGCAAGGGTTGGAAACAGATACCTACCGCTGCCAGGGAGCAGTCTTGAAGATACGAAGTGTGCGGACAATCCGCACAAGCTTGATCACTCGAATTGTGGTCGCTTGCTGCTGCTGCTGGTCTCCCGCCACCATCATCCTAATTGCATGCAGGGTGTCTGGCTTAGCGTAACTGAGAATAAGGGCGTTGAGCTCATTGCCTGACATCTTTGTTCTGAAGTCACGTGACAGTTGCGAGCCTGTTGCAAGCAACTACCAAGACATGAGCAGCACCATGTCAACAGAACGCAGCCCCCTGACAAGGTTGGATGACTGCATCTTTTTTTGTTGGGTTCATGGATTATAATATAGCCCTCATAAGCCCTATATTCCCCCTTTATAACGCTATATGATATGGTAGTTTCCATTTCTTTTTCCATTATCCCCGATATTGTCCCAATATACTTAACAGCACACGAGCAAACGTTCACACCATGACACACCCAAGCAGTCGGCGACTCGATAGTTGAAACCCCCAACACCCATAAACCCTCCTTCCTAGCAGGTACTTTGTCATTGCAATCTGCAACAATCTTTGTGGGTACTTGCTGATTGAAGATCTACAACAATAGTAGTAATAATAGTACGTAATACTAGTAATAAAAACAGTAGTAATAATGACAGTAATGACATTAGTAATGATTATACTATCTAACCTAAGTCCGAACTTCTGGATTGAACTGCCCTCTCGAGCTGTTGTCATGCACTGTCAAAGACCTGCACAATTTCAGTGTTGGGCAATTCTTGAGATCAGGGATCATCTTTGATAAGGTATGTCAACTCGGTCATCAATTAACATGTGAGGTGCCACTTCCCTCTTAGGAGCCAGCAAGCAAAAGCCGAGCACCCCGCGCAGGAAGCGCAACCAGTTCGAAGAGGTTGATAAGAACCAGCACGCCGTCAAAGATGTTGAGGTACATTATGCCTGGGTCACTGTGGATGTAATATGAAAGGCCTAGTGCTTTATACTCCTCCTTAAGTAGATAGAATATGGGGTATATGGGGATCTTAGTACAATGCCCCCAAAGCAATATTCTATCTACTTAAGGGGGCCCATCCCAAAACAAGGGTTGGTAGTGGGCACCCCTATTACGAGCCCCCCACCCAACAAGAACAACCTCCATTTATTGGGAACCCTAAAACCTGTAAAATGCTATAGAATCCCAGCCTCCATCTCTTTTTTCCAGTTGTTTCTGGACCATTGGGGATACATATCCCCTAAGCCCTATATCCCCGTATATATCCATATATAATCCCCGTGTAGAGTGCCCCACAACAAGGACCTAGCTGCCCTCCATCTGGTCGTAATACCATTCTCGGCCGAGAGTGATGATGCGCAACAGCACATCCACAAGGTAGATAGCGAAGAAGATAAATTCCTGGGTGGTCTCTTTTAAGGCCCCCGCACAAAATGATTTGTAAATAGGTTCCCCTCCTACCCAAAGAGGGGAGATGATCAATCATCCCAAAGTGCCACCTAGATTCAAATATCTCGAAGGTTTCCAGGGAAACTCCTTCCCATCCTGTATGAGGTAAGCCCAAGGCTTCACTCGTTTGGCTGACCGTCCACTCAGTCATGGCGATGATGCAGCCCAAGTTTGCAAGAACAACCAGGGCCATGTACCTCGCTGTAGTCCCCCTTAAGTGGATAGAATATGGGGTGGAAGTATTGGGGTTATACAAGGATAATGGAAAAGAAAATGGAAACGACTATATTTTAATAGGGTATATGTTGGGGTTATAGTCCCCCTTAAGTAGATAGAATATGGGATTTATGGGGATCTTATCATAATATACCCTAAGCCAAATTCTTTTTACTTGGGGGGGACTAGAAAACTTGAGGCGAAAACAACCTCTATGGCAGGATCCGATTAAACACTGGGGTTTGATTCTGAAATCAAATATAGCTTGGCACACCTCTATAAGGCTTTGTGATTAAAAACAATAGGCTAGGTTCAACTTTGACCCTCGGCTGGTAAGACAAGCCCAGCCCAAAAATCAAACAACAAAAGCTCTTCCATCTACCTAGACCCTCCATCTACCAACTATATACCCTAAATCGGGACCATATACCTCCTTTTTACGGGTACAAGGAGGGTTCTGGTATTTACCTCTGCTTAGCAGGGAATGAAGGAATGGACCCAGAAAATCATCCCTCTCACATCCCCAACACAACTTGGTGATTTCCGCGTTTTTCCATTCCCTCTGAGGAGTGGGGAAGATCGTGGAAACTCTCTCCCTATGCCCTGAACTCGATATAACCCTACATAACCCCTATAACTCCCTCAACGTTGCTCGTTCCCTGGCAAGCACAGGTCCTAGACCTAAAACTCAGACCCTAAACCCTCAACCGCGTAAAGCAGGTGTGCGAGTCGAGGCCCTTCTTCACGAAGGCCTTGAAGGGCTGATTTGCTCGCAGCTTCTCCCTGACCACCTGAGCTTCCCATCTGCACTTACTGATATTCAATGTGTGGCTCAGGGGGCCCAGCGTCTTTTTGCTGTGACTTGAAGCTAGAAGAAGAAACTTCCTTGAGACGAAGCCTTGTCACGAACCTTCCGCGGGTTCAAGCATTTCCTTTGCAAGCCATTTGCTTCGCAAGGGCTGCTGCATACCCCTCTGTGACATGTTTCCATGGACCAGCAGTTACACCGTTCGTTTCGCGAGACGAGGTTGCAGTCTTTGGCATTTAGATTCGATAGATATGTTTTTGTCTTGTCATAAGCTTCCTTCCTCGAGAGCTGTTGCATGCAAAACCTGTTGCGCACCCTTCCGCATCCTTCCACGAGCGCATCTCTTAGTGAGAGTTGCCTCCAGTGCCAGGTCTTTTTCACACACAACTGTCTAAACCAAAGCAGCTCACAAGAAATGACCACGCGTAGGGGCGGCGCACGAAGCACGAGGATAATCACCGATCTATGATCGGGATGACGGGTTTCTTTCCAAAGCGCACAGGGGAAGCCGCTTAATCAAGGGGTGCAACTCGGATTCTGCCCCCACCCTGTAGCAATCTACATCAGAACACATATTAAGGATGCTGTATAAGATATATTATCCAACGGTTACAGCTCGGGGGGCAGTACCAAGGTACAACTCCAGATCGACAGTTTTGGAGTTCGTTGGGAAGCAGTACATGGGGAGGTATAATATACTACAATCTACTATAACCTGCTATAGTATCCTATATAATACTATACACATAAAGGGGGAGAATCCGAATCGGGCACTTCTATTTTGTTTGGCACTAGGCCCTACGACTCTGGACCACTGCGTCTTCTGTCCTCTGTCCCAAGCCCAAAATCACATATATGCACAGTTAGATCTACATATGTCAATATATATGTATATATCTGTATATATATATATATCATATCTAAAGATATCGACATACCATGCAGAGAATATCCACAAAGATCCTGGATGAAGTTCCTGGGATCCGCCCCACATCCCTTGAGTTCCTGCTGCTTTTGCACTCCCTGGTTACGCCTCCAAACTAGCCACCAAAATCCCTCAACCCTACTTACACCTGCAAACCCCAAACCCTAACCCTGGACTCTAAATCCTAAAACGAAACCCCCAAACCCTGAACCCTAAACCATACACCCTAAACCCTAAATTTTCTTCATCTGGAAGAGGCGCTTCTTTCCCTAAGACGCGCACGGTGGTGTGGGTGTTGTGCCGTGACTCTGACTGAGGCGAAGCGGGGCCTTCCAAGTCCTCACTGTCCTGGTGGGCCATATTGGGTTCATACAAGGGTTATATTGGGGCCATATTTTCAGGGATTCTGGGGGGGTCCCTAGTTAAGGGTTCGATGAGGACAACTTCAAGTAACTGAGTGAATCTGGTGGATTGCTTTGCTTCTTACCTTTCGGGGCTCCCGTTGGGTCAGTCCCACACTCAGTAATGGGTACCACAAAAAGGTTATTGTAGACATACTAAGACCCTATTAACTCCATATAAAGGAACTATTTCCAATGGGGGGATTGACCTATGGGCTATGTTGGGGTTGTTCGTATGCCAATACGAATACTAATAACAAGAATAAGATGAATAATAATAGCAAGAATAGTAACAGTAATAGTAGTACTAGTCTCCCCTATGTTTTTGGAGATTCCTGGGCTCTTTAGCTCCCCTCATTATACTGATATGGACTATCCCTAGCTCCTTAGCTCCGCCCAAAAGTATGGGTAGTAATAATAATGATAAAAATCAGCCAAAGTGGCCATCTTCTTGGGGCATAACCGCACAACATTTTCTCTTGTAGCCTGTTCATATGGGTGGTTGTCAAAATTATGGTCCCCTTTTGGGTACCCTAAATATTGGGGGCCGTATTTTAATAGGGATCCAAAAAGGGACCATAATTTTGACAACCACCCATCTGGGTCGTCCTCTAGGTTATGGCCCCTTTGCGTTATGGATTAAATTGCGGCACCTCATATTGTGGGGTACCAAAATGGGACCCTAGCTTTGGGAACGGCCCCAATACCATACCATACCCTAAACCCTTTTTCAACCCAGGACTCTCTCCGGACTGCTGGGGGCCACGCCGAAACGCACATAGTGCTGGTGCCAAGTGTCAGGCGTCACCGAGAAAGCAATTAACAGGCCATGCTGCAGGAAAGAAAACCTCATCCACTCCTCCAAGGACCTCTTCTGAATGTCAAGCCAAATTTTGTGGTGCCATGATGTCCAAGCTCCAACACTACAACTGCATGCTAAACCCTACACCCTGAGCCTTAAACCCCAAACGCTAAACACTAAACCCCAAACCCCGAACCACCAGCTCGTCCTCAATCACTTCCGGCTCCCCATTCAGGCGGACAGTGAGTGATGCACCTGGGATTGGTCAACTTCAGTCTAGGTAAGGGTTTGGGGTTCGGGGGTCGGGCAAAGACCGGCATAAAATGCGTATTATTACTAAAGAAAGCTCCAGCTGTTGCTAAGCTAACTGTTCAAGCGGTAGGATATAACGCTCATACCAGTGTATTTAGTGCGCATACACTTTAAGCCTTAGATGTTTAGGGGCTTTAGTTGGGGGATGGACACGCATGCTGAAGCTGAACCACTCCTACAAAATCCCGTGAAAATTGCAGTGCTTGGGTTCCTCGAAAAACATTGATGCCCTCCGGCCTGATTCTTTCCTGGGTTTTGGTAACCGGTAGTATTCCTTACTGGTTTCTGTGAAGATTCTACTAAAATCATGTTCTACCATGACGGAGCGGCAAGGGCAAACAGCTTTGGTTTAAACTTGCAAGTCCAAATTTCCAAGCCCCGTTTTAGGGTTCAGGGCTTCTCCAGGATTCTCCAAGATACTTACCACACACACGAACACCTCAAGACCCTTTTGCATAAACTTGTTTGGCCTATTGCCTATGGAATCTCTGCCTCAAAGGAACGGCAAACCATGTGCGCAGCCCATGACCTACAACAACTTCCCACTCTACATCCATTCCCCCTAGTGACTTTTTTTTCGCTGGGATTAACGGCGATGGCTGCTAAACCTTCAACCAAGCCCTCATTCCATGCCCTTGAAGGTTGGATCTCTTAAGGGCTTAGGGCTTAGGGTTAAGGGTTCATATTACAGTCCCCCTTTAGTAGATAGAATATGGCTTTGGGAATATTATAATAAGATCCCCATGTACCCCATATCCTATCTACTTAAGGGGGACTATAAGGGTTTAACATGGGGTTTAGGGTACCACAGGCCCAGGTGCTCATGCTGTCCTGCACAAAGCCAACGCTTAGCCCTCACATGAGGTTGCTGAAAGCAGGAGTACCCAGGGAACCGTAGGGATACAAGAAGATTCGCATAAGTCTATTGAGCCCCCTACACGGGTTTATACGCGGTATCTCAGAAGCACCAACAAAACTTAGCCTCCAGCGTTTAACATTCTAGTTAGGTATGGTTTGAAGCAGGGAACCATCCTGAAAGGAGGACCTGAACATGATTCACTAACCCCACCCCGCTTCGGAAATCCCTAAATCCTATACTAGCCCTATGTAATCCCTAAGCCTAAGCCCCTAAACCTAAGCCCCAAATCTCAAACCGTAAACCTCAACCCATATGAGCCATAGTCTCAACTCCTAGCATCCCCCTTAATAGCCCCTATATTACTTCCCTATACAATCCCCTATATAACCCCCCATATAAAGAGTTTAGACTATAGCTCATATCGCCCTGGTCCCTAAATCCTGAACCCTAAACCCCGGTCCCTAAACCCCAAAACCCTGAACCCTTAAACCCTAAACCTCGACCCATATCACCCTGGTCCTCGGCATTTGTAAAATTGGTGTGCCTTGCACTGACCTCGCTGAGGGCCCGGAACCGAGCATCCTCTAACTGCCAGCTTCGTGAAGCTGCCTCATCTGAAGGTAATATGGGGTATAAAATGGGGTTAACAAGGGAGAATGTCAAAAAAATGGAAACTACTATATAATATGGTGTATATATTAGGGTTATATAGAGATAACGTCAGAGAAAATGGAAACTACTATATAATCTGGGGTATATATTAGGGTTATATAGGGATAATGTCAAAGAAAATGGAAACTACTATATAATCTGGGGTATATATTAGGGTTATATAGGGGTAATGTTAAAGAAAATGGCAACTACTATATAACATGGGTATATATTCGGGTTATATTGGGATAATGGAAAAGAAATTGGAAACTAGTATATTGTAGGGGTTATATAGGGGTTATATAGGGAACATAGGTAATTAGAGTTTAGCTTAGTGCTTTACAGCCCCCTTGAAGCAAAAAGAATACAGGGTATACGGGGATCATATTCTATCTACTTCAGGAGGACTATAATATGATTGGGGTTTAGGGTTTAAGGTTTGGGGATTAAGGTTTAAGATCTATAGAGATGTAGGGTTTAGGGTGTAAGGATTAAGGTTTAGGGTTTGGCTTTCGGGTGGCGAGGAGACAAACGCTAGGGATCCACATAGCCCAAAGTAGGTATCATTCATAGACTGCGGGACCGAATGTAGGTATTATTTATAGGCGTGGCTCCCTAGGGTAATAACAACAAAAAAACAACAGGAATGGCCGCAACAACGGCAGCGAAAACGTCAAGGGGTCAATGTTGATAGTCGTATTCGCTGAAGAGACGGCATCACGTGAAAGCAAAGAACATACCCTAGGGATCCAAGTTCACAAATAATACCTACACTGGGCCCCAAAGTCTGTAAATATTACCTACATTGGGCTATTTGGATCCCTAGGGATAGAACAAAAGGTCGGCATACGGGCTTAGCCATGCCTGATGCCTATACTTGAAAGCCGGAGTGGTTCTGGTTCTGGCAGAAGCATGCAATAAGAGGGATCTTGAAATAAATCCGAAACAGAGTAAAACGTACAAGTGCCAGAGGAAGATGCGCTATCCATGACTTCTCTAATCTTTCCTGAGTTGGCTTTCTAAGCCCTCCGAAAATTTAGTTTAGACCTATAGCAACAAACAAGAAACTTGTTGTTGCGCCCCCATGGCCAACCTAGTTTCTTTCTTGCTCCTCGAACTTTCGGTCCAGCTGGGTCTGCACCCACTGCTGAAACTCCTGGATGGCTGCGCAGAAGCTCAGAATGATGGGTTCTCTGCCAACCCGTCTCTGTAAGCTACCATAAGGCGAACTTATGGTGAGCGATGGGGTTTCCTTCTACGAGGTGACGTACTTAAAGTTCCTTCACACCCTACATAGCCCCTGTGTATACAACTTCCCATCTTATTCTCCATGTTCCTTTCCATTTGCTTCCCCATTCTTCCCTAACGCCTTATAGATGCCTGAATACCCCTTCGTAACCCTAATTCAGGGTTTTGTAAACCCGTAATCCTAAACCCTGCGCTTCTGCACATGCAAATATATATATGTATATACACACACACACACTAAAAAACAATTGAATTCCTTAACGGCAACCCAGACTCCAGCCATCCCACATCTGGGTTTTTGCCGCGCTTTGCCATGGCTACCGGCAGAGGTGTTGTCTAAGCCCCTTTGGGGAACACCTGGGCCTGGGCCACTTGCTGCAAAGATGGCAGAAGGGCTAGCAAACATGGTAGCTTATCGTTTCTGCTCCATGAAAACATTGGTAAAGTGGAAGCTGCCATATGTTATAATGGTTTCTCGGTTGCGATTCATGCAACAAAGAAAGCAAAGACTAGTCTACAAATGTCCCAAGCGTGCTTGCTTGAGTGTGGATGACGTGCCAATGAGCAGTGCTACAGTAACGGCATTAAGGCTTGTGCTACGGAGTGGATCCAGTTATGTCGTCAAAGGTCTCCCGGCAAACCGTCGGAGGCAATTTTGAAATGTCACTCAAACTTGTCGGGTGGTAGAAGAACGGGGGCACGCTTGGCGAGAGGTCTCTTTGAGACCCTACCTTGCAGACCTCACGAAGTCAGAAATTGCTCCCACACGTCGTTGGATTTCTTGGCACTCTTTCATCAACTTCGCGTTCTCACGCTGCAGCACCACAATGTCCAAAGCGCGGGCTTGTCCCTTCAGTTGCATGAGGCCCCTGCAGAATTCTGCGATTGTGATGAGCCCATCACCATCATCCAGGATGTCGAAGAGTGGACGGCAATCTCGAATGCTAACATCTAAGGACGTCAGGAAACCTTGCACACTAGGCAGGCTCATTGCTTCGACAAACTCTTCGTGTGAGAGGTTGCCATCACCGTCATCGTCTGCAGCGCGAAACCTTGGTCGTTCTAACGCCATGGAAGCAACAATGCACGTTGCTAGCTTACAGCTCTCCTCTACTTCACGGAGTTTCAAGAGCATGAGGAGAACCCAACTTCCAAATGCTAGGTTGATAGTGATCGATTGAGCAGCAGCTCTTCAAGCTTCATCTGCGAATCACGCGCCATGCGCCGATTATCTTCCATTACCATGTCGGCATCATTCGCGGCGCTTGCCAGCGTCTCCTTGAGGAACAGGGCCGTGACGATCCTCGCTTAGCACAAGCTGGGCTTTAAACAATGGCTGGAACCAATAGTTAATGTTGCTGTGAAATCTCCGGAAATGCAAGCCAAAGAGCAGTGCACCGATTGCGAACTAACACCATTGCCCTATGAGTTTAGCAATGTTACCTCCAGTAATGGAGAAGCAAACCATGGAAACGAACATGGAAAATGACTTGGAAACTGGGATTATCAAGTGGTTCATAAGGATCTGGATCATCCTCCCTTAGCCCTAAACTACCCCTTTTTCCGAATGCTCGGCAGAAGGGTTCCCGTTTTAAGGTGAGGGTCCAGGGGTCCAGGAGGTGACCAAAAGTCGTTGCGTTTGTGTCCGCAAGCGTTCGCAAAGCCTTCGCAAGTGTCGCGCATACCTCGCAGTCACAAAAAAGAGGTCCTGGTAGCAAAACGCAGAACTGCCGTCACTTTTCTCGCGTCTCAAAAATGTCAACGGTCACACGTATGGGGGGGGGGTCCTGGTCGCGAAACGCAGAACTGTCGTCGGTTTTGGACGTGGCTCTTGGTCTTCGCATCAGAAGTGTCAGCAGTCACACGGATCGGGGTTCCTGGTTGCCAAAAGTAGAACTGCCGTCGCTGTGCGGGTCCTGCTCGCGCGAAACGCAGAACTGGCGTGGCATTTGGAGCCTCCTCGCGCGAGAAGAGGAGAGAGGGGAGAGAGAGGCGAGAGGGGAGAGGGGAGAGGGGAGAGGAGAGAGGAGAGTGGAGAGAGGAGAGGGGAGAGCGGAGACAGGAGAGAGGACAGAGGGGAGCGGAGAGAGGAGAGAGGGGAGAGGGGAGAGGAGAGAGGAGAGAGGGGAGAGGAGCGAGGGGAGAGGGGAAAGGGTGGAGGACTGAATGGAGAAGGGGATGGAGAATGGGGGGAGGAGAGGATGGAGAAAGGGGGGAGGAGAGGATGAGAGAGGAGAGAGAGGAGAGAGGGGAGAGGGGAGAGGATGCAGAAGAGGATAGAGGAGAGGATAGGAGAGGAGAGGATGGAACTATATGTCACATGTCTGCATTCGGGTTTGTGGATCCTATCGGGTTTTGGGGAGAGACTGCACGAGCCCTAAACCCTAAAACCCTAAACTCATCCTCGCGTGGCCCTGGTGTTGGATACAACCCTAAACCCTTAATCCTAAACCCTAGGGTTTGGGAGTGAATATGGGTACTATTATAGGGCAGGGCTATAAGTTAGGACTACCATAGGGTTTAGGTTTACGGTTTAGGATGATCTCATAACTAGGTTCCCCAGTAACCCCTCAATAAGAAAGGTGTTCTTTTTCCGTAGTCATAAAGAAGTTGGTAACAGTGCACGTAGAACATGCAAGGTCAGGGGCGTCTCTATGATGACAGGCTATGATATCTGGGGGATAACGCTTCTTTACGCTTCTATCGCTAATGACTACGGAGGATTTCAGAAAATTGTCGCTGCTGAAGCACATCTTGAGTGAATATTCCCAAAGTGACATAGACCGGTCCTACAAAATCCCGACATGAGCCCCATATCTTATTCATGCACCGCCCGCCATGCGGTTAAATTAGATGCACACGGAGTCTCCGAATAACGGCAAAGACCACCAGAGTAATATACGCGAGGAAAGGTACCGCATACCAGGAGTCCACCTCACGCATGCTGAAGGAATCTAGGCTCTGAACATATAGGGACTATACTAGGTGCATAGGGACCTCAGGATTCTAGGCCCAGACTACGGGCCGTGGTTTCAATATTAAATGCAGGAGATTTGGGATTCAGGGCTTGGGGCTTACAAGGAAAGAAGTATTGCAAAGGACTCCTAAACCCTAAACCCTAAATAGTAGTTTCCATTTTCTTTTCCATTATTCCAATATAACCCCGTATAACCCTAATATATACCCTATTATAATGTAGTAGTTTCCATTTTCTTTTCCATTATCCCAATATTACCCCCATATAACCTTAATATATACTCTATTAGAATACAGTAGTTTCCATCTTTTTTTCCGTTATCCCAATATTGCCCCCATATAACCCTAATCTATACCCTATTTGAATAGAGTAGTTTCCTTTTTCTTTCCAATATCCCGATACTACCCCAATATAACCCTAACATATACCCTATTATAATATAGTATCCATTTCATTTTCCACTATCCCCATAGAACCCCCCTATAACCCTAATATATACCCTAGTATAATATGGTAGCTTCCATTTTTCCATTATCCCAGTACTACCCCCATATAACCCTAATCTATACCCTATTAGAATGTAGTAGTTTCCATTTTTCCATTATCCCAATATTACCCCCCATATTCTATGAAATCTTCCGTTTGCTTTAAGCTGTACTTCCTCTGGCGCGTGTTAAGCCTTTGTTGGAAAATGGCTTAGGTTTTTAGGGTTTAGGGTAAAAGGTAAAGCAATCCTTTACAACCACTCTATGCTAGGCTAGCAAAAACCATCTTAGACCCTTGTGCACTAAGCTCTGAAGCCCTCAAGACTCTCAACACCCAGACTTGAATCCCTTTAAGCTGTGAAGCCTAAGCCCTCAACTCTTAAACCATAACCCCCCCCCCCCAACTTTTCACGCTCAACCCCAAACCCTACGCCCTAAAAACTTTCAACCCTGAACCCCTCAACCGTAATCAATCTTCTAGCCTTCAGCCAGCCTGATCCACAATGGGCCGGACAACTGATGGCCAACTACCAGAATGGGTCACCTGGGGCTCCATGGATTAGGGTTATGTGGAGGTAATATTGGGATAATGGAAAAGAAAATGGAAACTACTCCATTATAATGGGGTAAATATTAGGGTGTAGTTTCAGGGACCTAAGAGCTGCTTCAGGGCTCCATGGACTCTTTTTGTTTTTTAACAAAAAACCCTTCGGACTTTTACGTCTCCATGGACTCTAGGGTTTAGGGGTTAAGGGTTTAGGGGTTTAGGGACCCCAATATAGACCTCAAAAAACTGTAATGCTTATCTGGGGAAAAAAGATGCCCCTTGTTCTGGGAAATCCTCACATTGGGGCTCAGGTTTTAGGATTGGGTTGTGTAGGGTCAATATAGGGGCGTAATCAGTTCATCAGGGTAGGGGCCGCAGATATTGGAATAGAGGAGAGTCAAGCGGACCATGCAATGGAAGCTGGCTTTACATAGGGCTTTGTAGAGTGTTTAGGTCCTAAATTATAAGGCTCCTGGCTTTGAGCTAACAATTTTTCGAGGTATAGATACTTCAAGCACATTGGGGTCTCCCTAAAATACCCTAACCCCTAAGAGATGTTGAGAACCCATATGCCGAGAGAGTCTGTGGTCCACAAACCCTAAACCGCCAACAGCCTCTCCCATGGAATGCAGCAGCCATTTTTCTCAAGGGCTCTTAGGAAGTACCCCTAGACGGACCTAGGCTATAATCTACAAGGATCCCCATAAAGGGTCCCACCTAAAGGCACAAGACTTTAAAAAGCTCGGACCTCAAACATCGTGTAGAAGGCTTTGCCAAAGTCCCCATACCTTGGGAAGGCGGGATGTAACGATGCAACGGAAGGTCAAGTTCTTGAAGTTTAGGGTTCAGCGGTTGAACTCCCCCCTGAACCCTACGTGCGAAACCCAAAACTCTAATCAGCAAACCTTATATAACCCTATATGTCCCCACAATCCCCACACAGCATGTGGTGGCAACAGCCTGGCAAGAATCTACATGGCTTGAGCAGGGTAGCCGCACGTTCGGCGAAGATTCTGAACTAGGAATGCAATGGATTCATTAAGGCGTGCGTGCGTGTGCATGCACATGTGCTTATGTGTGTATGCCACAAAAAAACTGCTTGTCTATGTGTATCTGCATGGGGTCTCCTGAATTAGGGATACTATTGTTGGGGTCCCATCATAAGGGTTCTAGTATATTGGGAACTTCATTGGGTTTCCCAGAGTCATGGAAACTTGCAAAAGGGGTTGCATATGCGTTCAGTGGAAAGAAGGGCACATACGCAACTTCATGTGAGCTATAGTCTAAACTCCTAGTATCCCCCTTAATATTCCCTATGGTAGTCCCCTATATAATCCCCTACATAACCCCCCTTAAAGGAGTTTGGACTATAGCTCATGTAAAATGGAGGTCTTTAGGGGTGTTCTGACAACCAAGGAGCTGAAGGAGCTATTGGCTCTGCTCTTGCATATGGGATCTGGAGAAGCTTATAGTCCCCCTCAAGTAGATAGAATATGGGCTATATGGGGATCTTATTGTAATATACCCAAAACCATATTCTATCTACTTAAGGGGCACTATAACTTCGTCGGCCTTTGGAACGGACTGCAATTGTTGTCAGCATAACGGTTTCCCTTGAACTCACCATGGACAACATCTCAAATTGCCAAGCTGAAGCCGACTTAAAGATAAACATGCTGCAAAACAATTGCGCCAGAACACAGGTTATTGACCAAAAGCCTTGTCTCCAGATTTTCCCGATCATCCAAGATGTACCTTGGGTGGACTTCTTGGCGTTGAGTTTCTGCTTGCTGTCTGCTGGATACTGTCCCCATTCAATAGCATCAGCAAAGTTCTACAAGTAGTGCTCCATGTTTTTAAGATGAGGGTCCTATACACGATCCTTCTCGGGTGGGGCCAGTATCCAGGCTACCTGCTTTATGTTTCACATGGATCTGCGTCGAAATTTAGCATAGCCCCCCATATTCCCTAGTATGCTACTAGTCCTCTTTAGTCTCATCCAGGACGACAACAGAGCCTGTCATGCTGAGCTACTACCATATGGTAGTTTCCCAACATAGGGGGACCCAACATAGACCCCAATATATTATAATCCTTACTATTGGGACCCCAAAATGGTACCCATAAGTATAGGAAACCCCCATATATCACGGATGTGAACAAATTCAACGCTTGACTTTTGGACAAACAAGAAACCCTTGCAGCGCCTGACAGATTATCAGCGCGAAGCCTACTTTCAGCACCATGAGAAGGACCATCGACCAGAACAAGGCCTAGGTTTAGGGTTTATAGTCCCCCTTAAGTAGATAGAATATGGCTTTGGGTATATTGTAAGATCCCCATATACTCCATATTCTATCTACTTAAGGGGGACTATAGGCGTTTGGGTAGGGTTTAGGGTACAGGGGTTCATGGCTTAGGGGCAAGTGCGTAGGTTGGTTTTGCTGAGACCTTCACTTTGCCTGTTCACAGCAGCGTGCTTCTGAAAAAGATGTTATATTGAGTAGTCCAATGCAGGGTACATGTACTCTCAACAACTTGAAGTGTGCTGTGAGATTCGTGCATCTCTTTCGTAACCTGGTTTCTTGGTGTAAAACTCATTTGAACACGGCAAGGCGTAACCGCAACAAACAACTGGTAGTTTGCCCGGGGTATAGTCACTGTATATGTCCCTGGGGGAAATCAAGAGGAATGCCTTGTTTCTGTCATTTCTTGCAACAACTGCCCAGGGGCTCCTATACTTGCGATGCAAGTACCAACCAGCAACCTCAGTTGGCGGAAAATCGTCACCTCAGATGCGGCAGTATTTCAAGTGTCCACATTATAGTGACTTGGCATGTTTAGGTACGAGTAGGTTTTTCCATAACACCAGCCTAACCTAAAATGGGAGCTAAGGTGCTGTAGACCTCATCTAGCTATAACCTGAATATTTTTTCAACCTAAGGCATCTGTGCGTGGAAGAATGTTTCTCTGGCTTCCCACAAACGGAGCCCTTATCTGATCCTCATCCTGCAATAGACCGCCGCCCGGCTACAGTCTTGACGATGCGCAACGTGCGCACGATGCGCATGAGCTTGATAACGCGGATGCTGCTGGCATGCTGCTCCTGGCCGCCTCCCAGGAACAGCCTCAGTAGGGAAACTACTATAGTATATTGGGGTTAGAAAGGGATAATGGAAAAGAAAATGGAAAGTACTATAGTAGGGTATATATTGGGGTTATATGGGGATAATGGAAAAATGGAAACTACTATAGTAGGGTGTATATTGGGTTTATATAGGAATAATGGAAAAATAATGGAAACTACTATAGTAGGGTATACATTGAGGTTATAAGGACAGGCCTTATGGCGCTCTAGGAATTACTGAATAATCCCCTCCCCGTGATAATAGGCCCGAGATATAGTATCTGCATGAAAGGGGCAATATTCGTTGTTGTGGGGGTGAGAGGTCATCAGGGAGATTCTGCTGGAAAAACAATAGATGCAGATTTGTGCGAGCGTAATCTGATAGAATGAAGCAGTAGCGAGAGTTGCCAGTATAATTGCAGCAGCCATATCCTGAGAGAAAGATTCGGAAAACGACGTCTACAAAGTTGAAGCCAGAAATGCATTTATCGGGGCTTCAAGGATCTTATCTGCTTCCTGGTCCCTAACTAGCCAGCCTCCCCCAAACACGTCCTCATGTAACACCAAAGGAAGCATGGTTGCCCTTCTTGACCATAAAACCCAAGCCCCAACATTTTGAATCCTCTAAAGCCCAAACCTCAAGCTCTAATCCAACACCCCTAAGTCCTACGCATTACATCCGAGGAGTGGAAGCTTCTGTTCTCAGCAGGCCTTAGGCCTCAGGTCAACAAAGTTTACAGCGTTTTGGGGTATACTAGAGTGACCCCGCCGCCATATTTGGAGACTTTGCGATTGGAACTCTAATATCATCATCCTTACCTTTAGTGCTTCCTTTACAAGACGTGTCCTGCGGCATGGAAAAAGTCTTCAAACTGTTTATCTCTTGCTTAAGGGTTTTACAGCTACACTTCTCCTCGGGCTAGCATCCTACAATCATTCTCTAATACTGCGCAACATTTATGGTCTGCACTGCAAAAACGCCAGAGCCTCGATAAGACGACATCATGCGCACTGCTGGACCCTTTCTCAAATTGAGGCCGGCAGCAGAGGCAATACCAGTAGCTCGAATGCGTTGACACAGACCACACAAGCATCGAATACGTTCAAATACATTATACCTTCACGGCTGTCATAGTACCACTCGTGCCGCAGTACCACAATTCGAACCAGCACATCCAGAACGAAGAGGACAAAAAAGATGTACCTAGCGGCGTGGGTGGCAACAGCCTTGGAACTACCTGGTTCGCCTCCTCCTACTGCTTGTTTTGCTACTAGCAGATGTAGCATCAGCAACGAAATCTAAGTCGTCGCAGCAGCCAGAGGAAGACGGGGTGTACTGGTGGTAGCAGTGTGGCAACTACTATTATGACGACTACTAATGCCCACCACCACTGCAACTGCCAACGCCACCGCCCCCGCCGCCGCAACTGTTCTTATTGCACCTTATTGCAAGCCGGTACTACTGCTGAGCGCTGCTTGCAACTGCTCCTCCATCCCTCATCCTAATGCTGAATCCCAATAAGACCGCGAGGGTGAAATGAAGTAAAGCGTTCAACCAATGGCTCTGAACCCCCTAGTCGATTTGGGGGTGCTAATTAAAATTTGTTGTGGGCCCACCTTTTCTTGCATCTGAAAAGTTTCTCGTTCATAATATCTTCGATCCCGTAATATCCCAACCCTTTCTGTGCCCTGAAGAGTGCTTATTGGGAAACATAGGATACTTCAGACCCCCCAATTCGTTTTGAACACCGTTTATTCTAGGGGAACCCCTTTTAGTTGCGGGGGACGCTAATCTGGATGCAACACTACCGTCCTCATAACCACCACCTACCACTGACACATTAATGATACAAAACAAAAAAGCCAAAGAAGAAACCTCCGGGATACTCAGACACTTCGAAGAAATGCTCCGTGAGATTCCAGCTGTTCGAGGTCGAAAGGTTCAGCGCCATATCAGCGCGAGCACCGGTCCTCGGACAGGCCCGGCCAGCTACTGGCCACCCCTTCCGTACAAAAATGTAACAAAACAGCTGGCCTGATAATACGAGGTGCCACAACAGCAAGAGCTGCTGATGCGGGATACACATATATATAAAAGTACATCTAAACATACATCCTTCAAATACATACAAATAGAAAGGAGGACATATAGATAAATGTGAATACATATAGACACATACAAACACATATAAATACATACAAGTACATACAAGGACATAATACCTACAAGAGCATACAAAGACATATAATCACGTATAAGCATATATATATAACTATGTATATGTATACATGTGTGTGTGTTTATTTATATGTATGTATCCATGCTAATCCCCCCCCCCCCAACTCAACCGCTTTCTAAGCAAAAGCACAGAAGGGCGCGCGTGATTTTTACCAGATTTTCATGCCATTTCCGATGATAGTAACGTAAAGACGTGGGGTCTGTCCTTTCCAGCACCGCGAATGCGAACGAACGACGATGCACGGGCAGATCACTCCCCTCTCTGTTTCACAACAGCGGTCGAGGCAGGTTGCTAGCTGCGTCATTGCATTCTCTGCGAAACGTAGGAATGGGATTGATGACCCATCCCTTTTGCCAAGCGTTATTGTGCCAAACAAACACAACCAACCGCGTACTCACAATAAGGGTGGTCCGACATCACCAGTTTGTTCGTTGACCCACCACCGCTTTGGGCTCAACTCATTTGGCATATGTATTTTGCTGGCAGGCCATCTTCCAGCCAACAATCGAGGCGGGCGCGCGATGGCTTTCACAATTCAGGACACTTTTTACTTTGCTACGTCCTCTAATATTTTAAGGGTACCCAGAACAAATCATTGTTTGACAACCACCGCTCATGAGGTCCATTTCTGACTATGTCATCTTCAGGCTATATAGACGGAAGCCAACTCCAAGAAAGTCCTACAGGGATGAGAAATGGCTGTGCTGTCGCGTTCCGCGCCCCGAACCCTTGGTCATATCCCGCGAGTCGCCAGCATGTTGCATACTGGGCTTCTATCAACCAAAGGTCATGCTTGGTGGGGAGTTGTTGCGGAAAGCCGCCCTCTGTTTCATGTCCTAGGTCATGAGCTATGCAAGGCGTATGGGCTCCAGGGTTTGTGAGAAGCCAATCACCTTGGCGTCCAACATATGCTGATGATGGATCGGACAACAAACCTACACCCTAAACCCTTGCAAGCAGGCAACGTGGAACAGAGCTTATTGTTGAAAGTTTCAAGCTTGCGGTCTGATGCCAAAGGTTGGTGTGAGAAGGGGCGTATTGGTTTTTCAGAGCCCCCAAGCTGTGACCCTAATATGTACAGTCTCCCTTTAGTAGATAGGATATTGACTATACCTTGATTTTGTTATGGTCTTGGGAGATTCTATCTACTTAAGGTGGACTATAGGCTGAACCAGCGTCCACTGCGTCATGACGATCATGAACACCAGATTCACAATGACGACCATGCCCATGTAGCCGTCCAATGGGCCCTTCCTTGGGGGTTTCCCTTGGGTACTGCCCCCCCCCAGTAACAGTCTGGATTAGGGGTCCTGTTAAGGGCTATATATAACCATATTATTATCATTATTCTTATTATATTATTATTATCATCCAACTGTTACTGAGGGAGGGGCAGTACCCAAGGTTTCCCCATCTAGCTACGGGTTCACGATTCGGGAAATTTTCAAAACTGGCCTGCCCTCCCCAATATTGGAGCCGGTAGTTGAAGGATCCAAAGACAGTCCCTGGGGCTCCATGTCTATCAATAATACCTACATTGGGCCCGAAAGTCTATGAGTATGACCTACACTGGGCTATTTGGAGCCTTAGGGAGTTGCCAGAACCTTGCTCCGATGCGTTCCCCAAAGGCGGCCCAGAACAAGAATGATCAAGGTAGGGGAGTTATGGGCTGTTTCCTTCTTTCCGCTTGCTCAGACAGGTTATTTTAAGCAATGTCCCAAAAGTACGAGATGTAGTCCTCCTTAAGTAGAGAACATATGGTATTGCCCAGTAAAAAATAATAAGATCCCCATATATAACCCCCATGTTCTATCTACTTAAGGGGGGCTATACATGGGAGGAGGGCCAAGTTTATAGGGGCTAGGCAACGGAGGTAGAATCCCGAAGACAATCAGGTAGTATCTTAGAGTCTCTTGTAGCCGGCCAGTATAGATAACACTCGTGTTTTGTAAGTTACTCACCTGAAGTGTAAGGTTTTGTTTAGGGTTCAGAATTCAATGTTTAGGGCATAAATTCTACGTGTGTTTTCATGAGCCTTCCATGTCAGAGTCAACATTCATGGGACAAACTAGGGCTTAGGAACCACTATATCATCAAAATGGTACACCGCACAGCACAGCTTCACGAAGGACTTCAAGGGAGGATCAGGTCCCCACCTCTCCTTCATCAGCTGAGTCCCCAGGCGCATGGGACGATGACCTTTTGAAGTGCCTTTGGTACTGGAAGCTTCAGGTTCATCCTCCAGGCAGGGTTAGGGCTTAGGGGTTTAGGGGCTTAGGGTTTAGGGGTTTTAGGGTTTAGGGGTTTAGGGTTTGGGGGTTGAGCGTTAAGGGGTTTAGGGGTTTAGGGTTTTATGGTTTAGGAGCTTAGGGGTTTTAGGGTTTAGTATAAGGTTCAGCAGTTTAGGGGTTTAGGGGCTTAGGGTTTAGGGTATAGGGTTTAGAGGTTTAGGGGGTTTAGGTTTAGGGGTTTAGGGGTTAAGGATTCAGGGTTTAGCGGTTGAGGGGTTTAAGGGTTGAGGGTTTAGGGGTTTAGAGTTTAGGGCTTAGGGAATAGGGTTAAGGGGTTTAAGGGCTTAGGGTTTAGGGGTGTAGAGTTTATAGGGGTTTAGAGTTTAGGGGTTTAGGGTTCATCAAGCTGTAGAAGCTACATAGGGGCTATTTGGTCAATTTGGTGCTAAGCCCAGGCAAGTGTGAGAAATAT